GTACATTTGGGATAGTTACATAATATAAATATGTAATTGGTGTCTTTTGTAACAAGATTTAACACAGCAATATTAAAAAAAAATATTTGTATAATCTAATCATCCTGATTAGTAACAAGTTATGCGATAAAAGCACATACTAAATTCATCTGTAAGCAGTTCCTTATTATTAACACTTAATAAACAGGAAAGATTATTTGATTTGTCAGTCACCTCCGATTGCACCCTCGGAGATAGCAAGTTTCGCCATTGACGGATGACGTCACGGACGACATAATTTTGATGCCGTTTTAAAATAAATGTAATTAAGGTTGTTTTATTAGTCTGTAAAGCTTTGTTCACACGTAAGAAAAATATTCTATGACTGCATGTTATAGTATGGTTTTTATGTAGTACATAATTAGTACGCTATGTTTATAGTATTGCCTAGCTCTCGCTTTTACTGTGATAATTCCCTTAGGACTTATATTTTACATTTGAAGAAAATTTGATACATGGTTTATATTATGTATATTGTATTTACAGATCGCATGCTTGTCGTAGGGCAAGATGAGAGTGATAAGGGCCCCGTCGACCTCAACATAAGTGATATTTGTAAGTAAAATTTAAACAATTAATTAGTAATAACTATTGAACTACCAGCGAGGTGACTAGATTGTATTCGAATCTTTTATAACATTCGGGACTAATGATCCGCCTTAATGTTAGGAAGAAAATCCGACACAGTGTCGTTGTACTGGCACAACACTAGCGTTACTAGAATGTCGATGTTTATTTATTTATTTATTTATTTATTTATTTAAGCACAACCACAACATATATATAACACACATACAACTTATCAAATGAATAGTATTAGATCTTATACATATGTATATAATAGTGTACATAACATTTACAGAGGTATTTATTTAGGTAATAGTTTAAGGTTTCGGAAATTATTATAAAATAGTAGATTTTTTTTTATCTTTGTAATTATTCTATAGATTATGCATACTGAAATAAGTTTTAATATTTTTTTTGAAAGAGTTAAAGTTCGTGCCAAAGAGATCTATATTATTTGTAGTTTGTTTTTCAAGTAATCTGTTATATCCAGAACATATCCTGTTTAGTGGCGAGTGCTGGCCGAGATTTGTCCTACACCTGGGGACGTGAAAGAGCTTGTTAGTGCCGCGTGCGTTTTGTCTAGGCACCGAAAAGAAAACATTCTCAAGCAGCTGTTGGCAATGAAGTGAACCATTTAGAAGCTTATATAGAAAGCATGTATCTAATACCTCTCTTCTTGATTTAAGTGACATCATATTAAAGTGTTTTAACCTTTGAGTGTATGGACTACGATGTGAAATGTGAAAATGTGAAATGTGTTTATGTCCCCTCACTAATTATTATGACACTTGACTTCGTAATGAAACCGCCATTCGCGCCAAAGAACTCTAACTAATAATGTCTAAAAGTAAGTAGTTTAGGTTTTTAAGGAAGGGTTTAAGGTTAGCCACGCCGGGCGCAGTACACGCATCTGCAACCGATTTTAGTTTAAACAACATTACACTAAAGAGAGATGAAACATGCGAGTTTATTTGCACAGTGCGGCCCATAGCTCGATAACCTCTCGTCGTCGACCGCTCTCCGTGATATGTACACGTATTTATATCATTTGCACTTGTAACTTGCATTAAAATCTTCCTTTTTGTACTGTACCTGTATTTTTATAACACGCTAGCCTAAATACGAGCGCAATAAATAAGGCTGTCCCTCGGTGTACTTATATTAAGCACGCTGGTGCAGTGCGAGTTGCTTGACTTTACGCATATATTTAAATTTCTTCTAAAATATATGCATGTAGTGTCACTATATTTTCCTGCGCCGTAAGACTGTCGGATACATATGAAATACGAAAATTGAAAAACACATTAGTGCATGGCGGAGATCGAACCTGGACATGTGGATTTTAATCCGGTTCTGTCAAGTGATAAAACATCGTTACATACGCTAATGAACTCTGTTTATCCATAACTGTATATCGTAGCTAATTTCTACTGACTTCCAGCTTTGTTGAAGCGATATATGGTATTGCAAATAGTGCTCTGGTATTCAGTATTTATAAGAAGCCTATATTTAACTTGGTACTCTAATACAACAGCATAAGGTCGCATGTCATTTGCCAAGTCCTGCAACGTATCTTGGCTCATCGGAATGGCAGTCATTATCTAATAGTAGCAAATTATGCGATGAATGAACTTAGGTCCGTGTCATTTCTCGCACATTATTGCAACTTTGACAATTTGTTTAGCTTTTATTAGTGATTTAGTTTGTTTTAACATATGACCAAATTAGTAATTAGTACAAGGTTCAAATTAAAACCCATAACCACAGATAAAATGAACGCTAGAACTAGAAAAAAAAAACTAATAAAGCACTTATTCTCGTATACTTATATCCGCTAAATACCATAACTATGCTTTTTTTACTTAAATTTATTGACTTTGGGTCGAAACGAAAGATAATCTACATCAAGCTAGTCTTTGTGTTATTTTCTATGTCTAGGTAGTAATTATCGTAAATACTCAACAGTGTCTGGTACAACGATTTATTTTTTTAATTAATTTTTCGTAATTAAAAATAACTAAATGAACATTTGCTATAAAAATATTGAAGGCGTTGCGTGAATTGATTTCTTTTTACAGATAAACATTATTTGGTTATCAATAATGGGAAATCCAAATTGATATATATTACTACTTCCTTTATTATTAAAATTTTATGTACTAACTTTATACTTCCTCTGAAACACATGTTCACACGTGTTCATAAATAGTATAAGATCATGGGGTCATTGGGAATTTACTTATTTTTTAAGCATTAGTAGAATTAGAAAATTAACTAAAAGCAGTACTGTAGTAAGTTATATCCAACTGTAATCATATTATGTGAATCGCATTATATTTACAAATTCCCTAAAAAACTTTGTTTACATTCGGGTGATTAAAACTTAACTTGTTGCCATGTTAAATCGTGGATTTCTACAGAACAATACGAAGCAAAGCCATATTCCTTGTTGCTCCAAATCTATCTAGATATCCGTGACGTTTAAAATGTTAAAATTTCCAGTGTGTTTATTTTTAAAACGTACATATACGTACGACAAGCTGGGCATCCATTTTATTGTAATAAATAATACAATTATCTTAAAATAATGCAAGTGATAACCTCGTGAGCATTTTAACCGGTTTACAAACGTAAATGGAAATTTATCTGCAACTAGTGTTTACATTTTTACCATTTTGTGCGACTATCTAAATTCGCCATAATATCGAAACGATCATCCGCATTTGGAAATGCGTTGTCTGCCATTAATCGACAGAGGGGGGAACGCTCTGGAAGAGGATAACATTCCCTCCTATGTGTTAAATTCTTTGCTGAAACAAAACTCATAGACTGCTAGCTCTTTTCCATTCCTTTCTTAAAAGAAAATGGCGGGCATAGGTAGACAACCAAAATTAAGGCCCCGGCATGGTACACTCGTTAGATGTCACTCGGAATCCCTTCCATTTGAAACCTGTAGTCATGGGTAGCTCAACTAATATTGATGACCTGCAGATCAGTTTACGGTTCGCATGAGTGAAGCAGATGAGCGAAACGGCTCCCAGTTCAGTTCAATTTATACCTTGCATAGAGTTATGATTGAACTCTTTGTGACTCGCGGCTCAACGGCTCGCAAAGTTCTAGTACATCGCAATGAGCCATAAGCTGATAATTTAGTTTTGAGCCGCAACTCAACGGTTCAATTCTGTCAGTTGAACATTTGAACAGTTTCAAGTGATCTATACACGTGTAGACACCTGTGTTCTGTGAGTTGTCAATACGTTTAACATATGTTGTTACTGGCCTGTACCACTGTTTAACTTGACCTTTGACATATAACTGTAGATTACAATAATAAAAAAGCAGACGTTAATATATAATATTAATATAAAAAAAAATTGTTTGTACGTTTATCCTCTGTTTTTCAAAATTACTTGATAATTTAAACTTTAAAGAAACTTTCTTATTTTGGATATTCTGAGTGCCAGGGAAATATTCTTTAATTTTTTTTAATTTTTCAAGTACAATTTAGAATTTTAATAATATAACATTATCTCAATTTACATCAATGACCCCACTTATCTCGGTTAACGTTGGTCGTCTCAGCTGAGATTTCACAGAAGAAGTAACGAAAAAAGGTTAACTTAGTATAATATTTTAACCCGGTCAAATTATATATTGAAGCTCTAATATTTCGCATAACAGAAATTTTGAGAAACACGTTGAAAAAATATCTTCCACGTGGTCGAAGTTATCAACCGTAATATACTGTAGGGACGGTGACTCGTTAAAAAGCAGACAGACGGACGGACAACAAAGTGATCCTATAAGGGTTCCGATTTTTTCCTATGAGGTACGGAACCCCAAATATACGTTATGGTCTACAACTCGGTCTTCAGTAATTATCGCAAAAATTTATAAAAACTCATTGTTGGTACCTTTGACTTTAAATATACATTTTTTTAAAATGCGGACCAATGGGTACCTTTCAGGGTTAACTCTTTACGTGTTGTAGCTTCACGCTTAAATTTAGTTAAAATTGACTGAGCTATTAATATACAACTCCGTTATCAAAACGCCAAAATATAATTTAATTGACTTTCAGTTTTATAAAACACTGACGTAGAGCGTAAAATAAATTTTTGCTTACTACATATTGAAGTTATCGGCGAAGCGGGAAAATCCAAATGTAGTGACGTACTTACTGTGTGTAGAGGAAACTGTTGTACTTCTGTTAGTCTACGTTGCATCGTCGAGACAAACTATCACGTTACAATTTAATTATTATTTATATATTTGTGTTATTAATTAAATGTGATCGCAATGAAGCTGTCTACACCACATCGCACAGTCTTACGGCATAATTGGAAGAAACGTTATGTAGATAGAAGTGAGTCAATATATTTAAAAAAATATATTTAGTGTTTGTAATTGGATTAGACATAACCTTATTTTTGAGTTTATGTCATAAACACGTTGCTTGTTTTTTTTTTAATAAAGTGTGCTAATTTAAACTTAATAAAATGTGATGTGCGATGCACTGAGATATCTTATATCTTTCGATTACATGTGGTGTATCATAGGGATTTTGAATCGTTTTTATTTAGTTAATGTTTTGAATTTATGGTATTTCCTACTTGTAGAATTGTGCGGCTTTCCTTTTACGGTATAATACAATAAATATTAATTTTCCTCAATTTTCTCTACATACTACAATAAAATATTTAACAGATTGCTTTCTAATATCTGTAATGTTACATATCATTTTCATCGCGGTGCCAAAATTGGTTTGCGTTAAAACACAAAGTTATCAACATTTCGTATCGAAAGCGATAAAAAGTATTTATGTTGATAGGAACGAAATTAATAATTTAATTCATTATAAAATCTATTGCCGTAAGAAAATCCAACTTAATCCAATCCAATTATATTAAAAAAAAAAACATTTTTTTTTAGATATTTAATATCTGACACCGACCCAAATTAATTAAGACCACCATTCTTTGGTTCATTGGTTTTTATTTCGGGAATTGTCTGCAATACTATAAGGTCCACGTTAAAACTATGAAAAAGTTTGAGAAAATGTCTAGAAGTAAACGTAATAAATAGTTTTTTTTAAGTAAGCAATGTTTGTTTGTGTTTAGTGGACGCGATCTGTATCGCGGATCCAGCGTTCGATGTGCCCTCGGTGAGCGGCATGCCGCGGCCCGCGCACGCCGCGCCCGCCATGCCCGCCGTACCCGCAGCACCCGCCGCACCCACAATGCCCGCGCACGGACACCCCGCTGCGCTCGCGCCCGCCGCCGCACCCACCGTGCGCATCGTCGAGCAACCCGCCAGCAAAGCACTCAGGTACACCTTTTGGTTACTTATACGTAAAGGATAGGTTAGGAGGTAAGATCCTATATCCAGAAAAGAGTTCTTCAATGTAACACCCTCGAACCCTACAGAGCTGAGTTTCACCACCGCCAGCTGTTGACTTGAACTACTCTTGACTTATGACAAGAGAGGTGATTGTTTATTCACAATAGATCGATGTTCAAAGAGATATGCGCCTGAGTAAGTGAAGTGAGCCGCACTAAATGGAGCGGCCATTGCTAAATATTTATTTTGAGATATTCAGGTCACAGCCTCTGAGATCAACTTCCGATCGTGCAGCGTCTACTAACTAATATGTTATACAATGGCTTAATAGTAAAGTTCGTTAAAATCAAGAGAAATGTGAATTAGTTGTTTTTTTTTATTCCTAGTATATTAGGTTGAAGGGAAAGTTATCCCTTATTTTTATATTGATTTGTCATACTTTTATTAAAACAAAGTAATATAACCAAAGCTTAAATATAAGAATTTTCAATCATCTCTGTGGTTATTTCACTTAACATTTGTATTAGGTTTCGTTACGAGTGCGAAGGTCGGTCAGCGGGTTCGATCCCCGGCGTGAACAGCACTAGCGAACGCAAGACTTACCCCACCATTGAGATCTCCGGCTGCAACGGGAATGCCATTGTGGTCGTCTCCTGCGTCACCAAGGACCATCCATACAAGTTAGTGTTTCTATAAGATATTCTCAACAACTATTAATCAGATTTTAAATATTGTTTTTGTATTTAATTGACCAATTATTATTCAAAAGTAAGAAACTTAAGGATCGTGATGTAAATATTTATGAACCACAGAGCACAGTTGTTATAGACAGACAAACTCTCTTTTACAATTATCTATTTGACTATCAGTCAACATACCGCATCGGTTAAATTGTAAAAATAGATATAGATAAATATTTAACAGTGCTCGCTCACTTAACAACATTATAAACCGAAAATGGAAAGTTCCTCCGACAATGTCTTTGACGCGTGTTACGCGCGTGGGTCAACCGTCGACAACGCGTGTACGGCGCGTCAGTTTATGTAACGCGTGTTGTGCAGACCGCACCCTCACAACCTGGTGGGACGCGAGCGATGCGAGCGCGGCGTGTGCACGGTGAAGGCGGAGCTGAGCGGCGACAGCACGCTGGTGTCGTTCAGCAACCTCGGCATACAGTGCGTCAAGCGCAAGGATGTGGACGCCGCGCTGCGCACGCGCGAGGAGCTGCGCGTTGACCCATTCAAAAGTGAGACCAACACAACACTGAACATACACATTCATACAACACTCCATACTATGCCAGCTTCAATACACATAGAGTAGAATTTTTTACAGAGTAGTTGGATGGATGTTTGTTTGAAGGTATCTCCAGAACTGATGCATGGTCTTGCAGTCTGGCAGAACACATAGACTGTTTTTTTTATACCGCGCAAACGGAGTCGCGGGCGACAGCTAGTTTAAATAAAATTGCAAAGTAAAGCGAGCAGTGTGGGCTTGTGGAGTTGCGAGCAACAATGGTGCTATTCCTGTGGCCGCTATTTCTGTAGCGATGTTGCTACGCCCTGCCAATGTTGCCCCGATTTACTCAATTATATATGTTTAAGGAAACGGCCTACTTACACTCGATAGTACAACAAAAAACTTCCTATAACAAACACAACCTTGCGACAGACAGACATACATAGATTTTAATAATTGGTTTTTGCTATCAACAACGTAAATAGATCGCGAGTGCGAAATATGATTATTTTTCTTTATGATATAAACAGACAGTTTAATTTTATTAATATGTATAGATATAATATATAAATATGTAGAAAAATCTTTATCCTTTAATTATGAATGTATGTGACGATAGTGGAAACGCCCGAGACGAGACCTGAGTATGACGTGACGTCACTTCAATGGGGAGGGAGAGAGAGAGAGAGGGGGGGAGGTCTGACACGATCAGACTGCGTTTGCGTCACGCTGTCTCCGTTGTGAGGAGAAATGTAGCAAGATTAAAATACTGCGCAGGAAATACCATTGCTGTGATTCAAATGAATAATACGAAAAATAGGATAGTCGCAGACATTATATTTATTTAATGGAGAACATGGTGACAAGCTTCAGATGTCATCTGTCTGAAAAAAAATATCACATTTCTTGAGCAATTTTGTATTTGCGTTGCTTATAACGAACGTAAGACCGAGTTTGTTCCAAGTTATCTCCGGAACGGTTGGACCCACTTTGTCAGCACTTACACTGGAAGGTAGCTGATGAACGTGGGGCTATAATAGATTACTTTTAAAATTTTGTGTTGACGTAGTCGCGGGCGACCGCTAGTATTTTAAAAATGCAGACTTCACTGTATTAGAAATTTTATTCCTTAAAATACCGCATTCTGTTCCTCTAGAGGACTTCCACTGGAAGGTGAACCGATGACCTTATTTGTGTGAGCAGAATGTGATGTAAGCGTGTGTATGTGTGTCGTGCAGCTGGGTTCAGCCACCGCGCGCAGCCGCAGAGCATCGACCTGAACGCGGTGCGGCTCTGCTTCCAAGTGTTCGTGACCGGCGAGCGCGGCAAGGTGCGCCTCGCCCTCGCCCCCGTCGTCTCAGACGTCATCTACGACAAGAAGGCCATGAGCGACCTCCACATCGCCCGCGTCTCGCACTGCGCCGGGCCCGCCGGCGGCCGCATGACCATGATACTGCTCTGCGAGAAGGTATACCCCCACATACACTGCCCCCCACAATACTTCAGCCGTAACATGAAGCTTCAAGAATAAAAAGAAAAACTAAACAGTTAAATAATTAAGTAGTTTCAAAAGATCCTATTCCTAATTTTTTACAACGCACAAAAAGAACGCTATTGTGCAAATGTGATCAACTCGCCTGTTAACCGCCGCCATTAAATGACAAATTACGATCAAATGTTAATGAACTCACACAAAAACTTACTAGACAGTTTTTTGTAGCGCAATATTTAAAACAATGCCTCTTTTTTAAGTGAGCGAATCAATTTCGCAAAGCAATTATACGCTAGTACAAACCTTCTTTTTTTTTCAAATGTATTTAAAGTCCTCTAGCAGATTTATCTTATGTATGTATGTGTGTGTGCGTGTCAGGTGACGGGACAGGACACGGCGGTGGTGTTCTTCGAGAAGGCGAACGAGGAGGTGGTGTGGGAGGCGGCGGCCACCAACGTGCACGTGCACAAGCAGGCCGCCATCGCCTTCGACATACCCCCCTACCGCGACCCCGCGCCGCACGACAACGTCAAGGTGCGGCCCCCAATGCCCCCACAACATGCCCCCAACACACCCCCACAACATGCCCCCAATTCAGTCCTTGATCATCCGATAATTCCGTACAAAGAACACTGTTAGTCATATTGTTGTAAAGTATGATAGTAAACATTTTTTTAAAGCTCACAAATGTATGTCAGTTTATTAGACATATGTATTAATTTATCAATTTCACTTTTTTTTTAACACAAGAATATATAGAGAATGTATGATGACGTAACTTTAACTGATCAAGGTGTGACGATGATCGTTCAGTTTACGTAAATCGTTATTAGAGTTTGTCGGGTGTCGGCTGTGTCAGCTGCGCCGGCTAAATCAGTTACAGCGGCAGTTGGCGGCGCGCCAGCGGCCAACAACTAACACATCATCTATGCTGAATTACTTGTATCGAATCCCTATATTATTACAAACCCAAAAATGATTAAACCAAGTTTAAAATAACATTCCCATTCATACAATACATAATTGTTATCGTCAACTATCGACGTAGCAAGGTATCAAGAGGTCGCTAGTTTCGCCGGCGAGCTGATGTCGATGTGTGCGCGTGTTGTGTTGCAGGTGTACCTGCAGCTGAAGCGGGTGACGGACAACGCGCGCAGCAACGCCGTCGACTTCGAGTACACCGCCACACCAGGTACCGCGCGCAAGCTGCTACCAGACCTC